CTCTCTGAATTCATCCACTGTGATGTCTGGAGGCAGACCTATAATTTCAAGAGAACAGCTTTAAAGTATTTAATGATGGTAAAAGTTGTTTAGTATTTTACCAACAAGAAACCTACAACATAGGTGAATGTAAAGCTGATTTTTTTAAAAGAGTGCGAAAACTTCCTATCTTTAACTCTGAAGATCATTCATATTTTATATATTAAAAATATATCACAGTTATACTATGCTATGCTTCATTAAATCTGGAGACAAACTGATGTAAATTATCTAAGGCAGGCATACAGAACAGCATGCAAAATTGCATCATTTTTCTTGGTTCTGTACTAAGTAAATTTCTAGTTAACACAAACAGCTGAACAAAACACACTAGAAAGTAAAAATAAAAATCACTTAGCACAAAGTCTCAACCCTAAATGTTTCCAACCACAAAACTGCATTAAAAAGGGATAAATACCTGACACGTATACATTTGTATTTCTATCTTCTTCAACATGGAACCATCCTAAAAATCAAAATGAAATAAATAAAACACTTGCAAATAACAAGAATCACATTATGAAATCCTGGTAGTGGCAGCTTCTTAAAAACTTTTAGAATGTTCTCTTTATTTAAGAAAACTAAGTCTAACTCAAATCATTACCCAGCTTTCAAAAATACATAAACTTCTTGATTGAGAATGTTTTAGGGCTCTCTCTGAAAAAGAAAAAGGCTATCTCAATTCTTAATGACTTTACGCCTACATAAAAGTGAAAACTTACATTATGTTCCTTCAATGCTAGTATAATCCTCCAAAATGTAAAATGTATTTACACATTTTCCTATTTCTTTTTTACACCCAGGTTTTGCAAAACAGAACCACTTGCCTGATTCGGCCTTTCTCTTTTCTCCCCTCTTTTTGGAGTCAGTGGTTTCTGGGGTTTCTCTTTGTGGAGGTTCTTCTACTGTCTTTGGGTTGGGGTCCTGGACATTCACAGTAGAACTAGATGCACCATCACTAGAAAAGCCGTAATTAGCCTGATACGTAGCAATGAAATCTTCAGTGATCTAGATGGGTTAAGTCAGCACATATGCAGACATGGTTACTTCATGTGTTATACAACTGTACATTCAGTAATATAATCTAAGACTTTAACAAGTGTTTATGCCAAGGGTAGTTGTAATAATTAAAATATAATAGGAGAGCAGTCATCTTATATAGAAACTGTAACACGAAAAAAGTACGAAACTATGAAAAAGTGCTCAAACTACCAACAAAAAAGTATGAGAGAATTTTAAGTGATGCTAGCACCTTTTCTAGTTGTCTTATAAATTCTTGCTTCTCCACAGTATATCTGACTAAGGTGGCCGATACAGAGAACAAAAGAAGTATCAAATAATGATACAGAGTAAAACCAAAAGTCAACTAGAAATCTAATCACAGAATCCACTTTTGGATGCACAAAAATACGTATGTACACTAAGATTTTTATGTTTATGTATGAAGCTGGAAACTGCTAGAACACAAAATGCCCATTTGAGTTTGAGCACTAATTCAGAGAAACGCTTAGTGACAGAACAAAATCAAAGGCAAGCCTGATACACACCCATCGCCCTGGCTTTGCAGGGGAACCCACTATTGTAGAATGGCTGAATGGCTGAATGAGTTATGAGTTATGACTATCACTTTCAGGTACACAGAAAAGTGAAAATTTTACCCCCAAAGTTTGAAGAACCAGGGTTTTAAGTAACGTAAAAGATAAAGTTACCAAGTAATTGCCGTCGGACTATTAAAAGGGCTCAGAAGGTAGAAGAAATCACATCTACATTCAAGGTGGCATTACAAGTCCAGAAACGGGATAGCAAATTTCAACAATTTGGGGAGCTTGAGATATGGACAAATATAAAATAAGAAAGAATAGCTGAAATACTTTTTAAACTAACACTCGGTCTACACAATGGAGACAAGTTTTTTTGTGATTGGCTCCCAAGTCACTTGATGGGCTGTTCTTTTCCTTTAATACTAATGCCCCTCCTAGGCTAAGACTAACAGCGTACTTTCTCCATACAGCTTACACTAGTTATTTCCACGTTGAAATTAAACACACAGCAATTTCCAAGTACTCAAAACGAATGTAGAGACCTTTTCCAACCATTTTCTGTGCTTTCCCAGTCATATTCCTGTGGTTACAAGAGTCAAACTTAGATGCCCTGGAACAAAATTCAGTAGAAAAATAAACCAAGACGCAAGGAAAGTTTATTCAATAGAGTGGGGTAAAAGCCTTCTTTCCCGCCCCCTAAATCAACAAGCTGCATTTTATCCACAGCATGGACACTAGACATCTCACAGGTTTGGCTATACAGGATAAAACGGTTACAAATGTGTTTTCCTTGGTGTTTTTCCTTTTGGCAATAAAAAGCAGTCATCAATATAACGCCTGTGACCTTCACAAAAATTAATAAGGCATAAAGAACATTTCAGGCACCACCATAAGGTTTTCTTTCCTTTATACATCG